TAGAGCCCACTGTAACTACATAGCCAAAAAGGCATTAAGAGTTGTTAACCTAATCTTACATAGCTTTTTCTCTGGTAATATTACACTAATAACTAGAGCATACAAAACATTTGCTAGACCAACACTTGAATACAGCTCATCAGTTTGGAACCCACATTATGTATCTGATATTAACGCAGTTGAGAAAGTCCAGAAATATTTCACAAGAAGAGTTCTCCACTCCTCTACTCGTTGCAGAATACCTTATGCAACCAGACTCAAAATTCTAGACCTAGCAAACCTAGAACTACACCGTCTTTGGTCCGATCCAAGTATAGTATATAAAATCATACATTGCAATGTCCTACCAGTCAGTGAATACTTCAGCTTCAACCATAACAACACAAGAGCAAACAATAGATACAAACTCAAGGTTAATCGCACCAAACTTGATTGCAGGAAATACGACTTCAGCAACAGAGTGGTCAATGTCTGGAATACTCTACCTGACTCTGTGGTTTTTTCTCCAAACCCCAAAAACTTTAACTTTAGACTGTCTACCATTGACCCTTTTCTAAAAGGTCTGTAGGGGGTGTGCATAAGCACACCAACGTGCCTACCGTCCCTGTCCTATTGTTTCTTTTATATATATTTTTATTTTTCTTATATGTATCCATGTATTTATAACTATGTTTTTACTTATACCTATTATCTTGTAAGCAATTGACAAATAAAAATAAAATAAAGTTTTATTGACCAAGTGACAAGGACACACAGGGAATATGTCTTGGAGCAAATGCTCTGTATAAATAAAAGAAAAGATACATTTGTCAAGAGTCAAGAATCATCAGGTACAACACTTAATGATAGTCATAGAGTACAAATAGGCAACCAAATCATACTAGGAAACAGTCAATATAAATCCTAAAGACGCAAGCAATAAAGTTACAGTCATACAATCACAAGTGGAGGTGATGGGTGAAAGGAAGGATAGGAGAATTAATAGTAATAGTAATGCAGACTTTGTAAATAGTTGGACAGTATTAAGGGAAATATTTGTTTAGCAGAGTCATGGCGTTCGGAGGAAAAATGTCCTTGTGTCTAGTTGTTCTGGTGTCCCATGCTCTATAGCGTCATTTTGAGAGAAGGAGTTGAAACAGTTTATGTCCGGGATATGAGGGGTCTGTAAATAAATAAATAACAAAGGAACCTTGACAGCATACAGTACAACCCAAAACAGCTACAGGATACTCAAGTTCAGGGAGTCCTCTACTTACATTTCATTTAATGACTGCTCAAAGTCACAATGGCGCTGAAAAAAATGACTTATGAGCGTTTTTCACAATTATGACCTTCCAAGCATCATGCGAACAAACTTCAAGTGCCTGACAAGTGATTCATACTTACGACCATTGCAGTGTCCTGGGGGGCGTCATTGATTTTGACAAGCAAAACTAATGGGGAAGCCAGGTAAGTTCCTAACATCCATGTTACTAACGTAAGTACTGGACTGATTCACTTAACAACAGTGGCAAGGGGAGGTCACAGAATGGGGCTAAAACTCACTTGACAAACGTCCCAGCTAATGTCTCAGAAATGTGGGCCTTCATTATGGTCGTTAAGTGGAGGACTACCCATGTACATACAGGTAGTCCTTGACTTACAGCCATTCACTGAGTCACATTTGAAGTTAGGGCAGCATTGAAATGGGGGGTTATTATAATCATTTTTCGCACTTTGGAGCAGTGGTGGGATTCAAACTTTTATCACTGCTGGTTCTGTGGGTGTGGCTTGGTGGGCATGGTGTTGTTTGGTGGGCGTGGCTTGGTGGGCGTGGCAGGGGAAGGATACTGCAAAATCCCCCATTCTCTCCCCACCCCACTAACCTGCTTTCCAGCTCCATTCTCCCTTTGCAGGGCAACCAAAGCAGACCCAGCCAATCAGCTGGGACTCAATGGGAGGCAGAGAATAGATGGGGTTGGTGGGGCCAGTCAGAGGTGGGATTGGCCAGTTCTCCGAACTACTCAAAATTTCCACTACTGGTTCTCCAGAACTGGCCAGAACCGGCTGAATATACCACCTCTGCTTCAGACATTGCCATGCTTCCCCATGATCAGAATTCCCGCGCTTGGCAACTGGCATGTACTTATGAGGGTTGCAACATCCTGGGGTCATGAGACCCCTTTTTGCAACCTTTTGACAAGCAAAGCCAAGGGGAAATCCAGCTTCACGTCACAACCACGTTACTAATTGAACAATTGCAGCGATTCACTTAGTGACTACGGCAAGCCAGGTCAGAAAATGGGGAAAACCCACTCTGCCATTGTCTCGCTTTGCCAGGGGAGATCGGGCACTCCATTGTGGCCGCGAGTCAAGGACCACCACCACACAGCTGTCTACTTCTCAACTTGAAATGCTCACGGCAAGAGTAAGCACCCGAGGACGGGAGGCTTCCTAGAAACATGCAGCTGCTGGCAGTAACACGAAAGAAAGAAAATTCTGGGGTGGAAAAATGCTTTAAAGCCAACTTGATTATCTATCTGGCTTGTTAGCCAGCATGCCTGTTAAATCTGGGTTTTTGTGATTTTTTTTTCTCCTTTCCTTTGCAAAGCATTCCAATTTGGGAAAAGTTTAAGGGCTTTGCTCTACTTGGCGATCTCAGGATTCCTTTGAACAACAACAACAACAACAACTATACAACAACTTGAACAACAACAACAACTGTACCCTGTACAATCTCCGAGGGACCTTTGACTATGATCAATTGCATCGGTTCCCAAACCCTGATTTGAAAGAATCTTATCCAACATTCTCTGCTTATTGTCTCTATGGACCTTTGAATCAATCCAAACTCCTGGTGACTGCATGGATCTTTTAATCCATCATACGCCAACTGCACCAACTCAGAAAGCTCAAACTGCCCAAGTTCAGCAGCGGTTTCCATGTGGAAACAAAAGCACGTGTGTTCTTTTCTTTAAGCAAAGTAGTCAAGTTTGCCATTTCAGCCAACTCCATCAACTTCTGCAACCGGGTAGTTCTCGGCTTATGGCAGTTCATTTCGGGATCGAAGTTACAACGGCACTGAACACAAAATGACTGATGGTGGTTTTTCACACTTACGATCCTGTCAGCCCCTCCGTGGTCATGCAATCAACATTCAAACCCCTTGGCAAGTTGATTCATATTTATGACGGCTGCAGTCAATGGTGGGATTCAAAAAAAATTTACTACCACTTCTGGGGGCATCAGAGGTGGTATTCAGGAGATTCTGACCAGTTCTGGGGAAATGGTAGCGGAAATTTTGAGTAGTTCAGAGAACCTCTGACTGGCCATGTCCCCATCTATTCTCTGCCTCCCATTGAGTCCCAGCTGATTGGCTGGGTCTTCTTTTGTTGCTCTGCACAGGAGAACAGAACTGGAAAGCAGGTTAGTGGGGTGGGGAGGGAATGGAGATTTTGCAGTATCCTTCCCCTGCCATGCCCACCAAGCCATGCCCATAGAACCGGTAGTAAAAAAAAATTCAATCCCACCACTGGTGGGGATGGCTTGGTGGGCGTGGCAGGGGAAGGTTACCGCAAAATCCCATTCCCTCCCTACCCCACTAACCTGCTTTCCAGCTCCATTCTCCTGTGCAGGGCAACCAAAGAAGATCCAGCCAATCAGCTGGGACTCAATGGGAGGCAGTGAATAGATGGGGGTGGGGCCAGTCAGAAGTGGTATTTGACGGTTCTCCGAACTACTCAAAATGTCCACTACCGGTTCTCCAGAACTGGTCAGAACCAGCTGAATATACCACCTCTGGCTGCAGGTCTCAGGCTCCTGTGAATCCCATTGGAAATATTCTGACAAGCAACGTCATCTGGGAATCCAGATTAACTTAATAACCCTGTTACTAACAACAGCTGCAGTGATTCATTTTGCAATGGTGGCAGGAAACGGTCATGAAATGGGACAAAATTCACTTCACAATTATCTCACTTAGCAACAGAAATTTGGGGCTCACATGTACTTGTACATCGAGAAGTATCTGTATTCAAATGTCTCCAGGGCTGCTTTCCTCAAATTCTGGCATTACTTCACAACAGATGAGGCTATCGAGACTCATGGGAGATGTAGTCCATGTGGGAAGTCCCATCTCTTAAGGTCTATGGAGATTCTCCAGGTCGTGGTTGTCCTAAAGGTGCTTTTTTCAAGAGGCAACTGGACTTTCTGGTTTTTCTTTGAAGAGGTTTCACTTCTCATCCAAGAAGCTTCTTCAGTTCTTCATCCAAGAAGCTTCTTCGATGAGAAGTGAACCGTCTTCGACGATAAACAAAGAAAGTCCAGTTGCCTCTTAAAAATGCACCTTTGGGGTCCCCCTCTCTTCACTTGCCTCATTTCAGTAACCTGACATCCTCATTCCTATCAGGGATCCTCAGAAATGTTCAGCAGGTTGCAGTCCTAGAGGAAGGCTGTGCGTTTTTCTACGCCAACACATCGACTGCTCTTAAGCACGGCATGTTGTGTTAACTCAACCGACTGATATTAAATGATGGATCTTGGAAAAGCGGGTTTCTTTGGTGAAACTAAGGATTCTGGTTGGCCAGTTGTGAGAAGACAGCTCAGGCAGAGACCGTTTTAAGTTTTCCCAGTTTGTCCCAAAGGTGCTTTTTCTGGAGGCACCTGGACTTTTAGGTTTTTCTGTGAAGACATTTCGCTTCTCATCCAAGAAGCTTCTTCAGCTCTGAGCTGAAGAAAGTCCAGTTGCCTCCTAAAAAGGGCACCTTTGGGACAACCAGGATCTGGAAGACGGAGAATCGCTACAGACTTTTAGCTATATAATTTGGGACGAACACCCTCTGAATGGTGTGGGAGCAGGAATGGGTTTCCAGAGGAAAAATTGCAGGCTACAGGAACCAGGAGCACCACTCAGGTGAGGACACAGATAAACCTCCAAGTGGCCTCAATGACTCTCTAAAAAAAAAAAAAAAGCAAATGACCAGCTGTCTGCAAGGAATATAAATCCTTCCATTTCCCCACCATCCAAATCAGAGCTGAAGAAGCTTCTTGGATGAGAAACGAAACGTTTTCAAAGAAAAACCAGAAAGTCCAGTTGCCTCTTGAAAAAAAAAAAAGCACCTTTGGGACAACCATCACCTGGATGACTGAGAACCTCCGTAGACATTTTCTCCTTTTGCAGCAAAGGCGCACGGAAGAGGGGAGACCCCCCCCCACACACACACACAACCACAGGTAATAAAGGCGCTTCGTGACCCCACGGGCGCCGAGGGACGGCGGACGAGAAGCGCTTTGCACAAAAACCGCTCTCCACCCGGTCCAGTCCTCTCCCTCGCGGGGTTGGGATATTGAAAGTGCTCCGGTCACCTCCTCCGATGCTGAAAACAGGGCATTTCCAATCTGGAAACAACAGGCGTCCTTTTTGGATACAGGGGAAGTGGGGGGGGGAGAGAATGGGAACCCCCACCTAGAGCAGAAGATGGAGGGAGGGAAAGGAAGGAAGAGGACGCGGGCAGTTCGGCTTTGCAACAACCCCGCATCTCGTGGATTTGCAACACCCCGCAGCTTGGGAGCCTTAAGAGGCGTTTTGCAAAAGAAGCCCCCTCGCCGTTTCCTCCTTCCCGAGGGGGGGGCGGGATCCGAGGCTAAGCCAAGATGCTCCGGGAAGGGGAAGGGAGGAAGAAGAGCCGAGAGTCTCCCCTACCTGTCTCGGGACTCGCTTGGCCAAGGACGAAGAGCAGCAGAGCGAAGAGCGGGGACGAGGTAAAGAACAGGAAGGGGCCGTCAAACATTTTAATTGTAGTCGAGGGGCCCCCAGGAACCGGACTCCAGAAGCCGGGAGCGGGAGGGAAGCGGGAGACGATGGCAGCAGGCAAGCAGGAACTGTGTCGGCCGGGACTAATCGCGAAGCCCTCCCAGACTTGGTGGGCGGGTGGTGGGGGGGCGAAATAATAATAATTAGCTCCTACAGACAAACTCAACGTGGTTTACAGAAAGGGAGGAAAGGGGAGGAAAGGGGAGGGAAGGGAAGGGGGGGGGGGGGCCGAGAAGAGAGAGGGGGGGGGGCACTTTGGAGGCAAAGTCCCGATTGGAGCTGAATCTGCCGGAGCTACACCTCCTGCCCGCTGATTGGCCGTCGGAATTAACACACTCGGGTAAATAGCGAAGTTGTAAACTGAGCTGCAGTACACGTGGGTGGCGGGTGAAGGCCGAGGGACGGCGGCAGGGGGCGCTCGAGAGGCGAAGGTGATGCTTCTTGGCGCGTCTGGACGGGGAGAGGCGGCTGTTCTCAGCACTATTCCTGGGTTAGAATAACAGAGTTGGAGTTGGAAGGGACCTTGGAGGTCTTCTAGTCCAACCCCCTGCTTAGGCAGGAAACCCTACACCACTTCAGACAAATGGTTGCCCAATCTCTTCTTAAAAACTTCCAGTGTTGGAGCATCCATAATTTCTGGAGGCAAGTTGTTCCACTGATTAATTGTTCTCACTGTCAGGAAATTTCTCCTTAGTTCTAGCTTGCTTCTCTCCTTGATTAGTTTCCATCCATTGCCTCTTGTCTTGCCTTCAGGTGCTTTAGAGAATAGCTTGACTGCTTCTTCTTTTGTTGTAGTTGTGGTTGTGGTTGTGGTTTGTCTTCAATCCTTCACTTTATCTGCAGATGTCCAGCAGGTGAAGGGATCGATATTTTATCCACCACGTGTTTTTCTTTCTCTGTTTGGATAGAGAACTGTGGTTTGTTTAATTGTGGTTTGCTGGCTGAGCCATAACTTGGCTTGGTTTCCAGGGGTTGTCTTTATTGTGGTTTGTGGGATTAACCCTAGCTTGCGTTAATGCAACACACCGAATGAAGCATGAAGGAGTCGGCTCTGTTTTAGCTCAGTGTTTTGTGGAAATTCATCCATCTTGCTTTGCGTATCCTGAAATGTGGGCTAATTTGGTAAACTGGGTTTAGGATACCCATTGATAAACCTGCCGAGGGAAAGCAAAAGCTTTCCAGGTATGTAGAAGCAATGAGAGGCAAGTGTTTGAGTGGTGCGGTGGCCTAGAGGTGGAACTTTTCGATCCTAGGTAGAGGCAAATATTTATCTCAGGGCACACTGTGAATATATCTGCTGAATGAAACTCCTCATTGGTGACAGGAAGGGCATCCGGCCAGTAAACACTCAACTCCATTCAGTAGCCCAGACTCCACCCCGCAAGGGATCATGGGGTCATTAAAAGTGGGTGGATGAGAGGCAAGTGTTTCCGGAAGTTTTCCTCTTGAACTCTTAACCCTAGTTTGTTGCATTAGCCACCACAACTGAGTTTACATGTTGAATCATACCAGCGTCTCCTAACTAGATGCCTTCCTTATATTAAAACCGCAGCATATCTGGAGGGCATAACATGAGGAAACGCTGCAGTGAACTTTAAATGGATGGCTTGCAAAGCATTAAGAACCAGCCACCTCTATGGCTTCCTGCAGTGGGTGAAATCACCCACTCTTGCTCTGCTATGGTTAATAATTATCAGGCCTCTCTGAAATTAGAAGTTAGTGCAATGTTTGATCCAGCCACTACTTTGTGCATGGAAAGGTTTCCAAGGGACGGTGAGAGAAAGTGGTGTGAGGTTGTGTCGCCACACAAGCCTCAGCTCTGCCTCGGAGCTAGAGAGGGTTAAATGCACAGGAGCCCTGACAGCATAGAAAAAAATGGCAACTTTATTGGGGGACTGCCTTGATCTGCTTTGTTCTAATTAGCCCCTTGGGCTGGGAAATAGATGTGCTTCCCCCCCCACCCCAGCTTAACGCATTGTCCAACTCCATGGAGCTTATTGATTCCATGTGTCCTGCAAAAGCAAAGTTGGGTAATGTATTCAAGCAGGTTCTGACCAGTTCTGGAAAACCAGTAGCAGAAATTTTGACTGGTTTAGAGAACCAACCAATACCACCTCTGACTTCCCCTACCCCCATCTATTCTCTGCCTCCCATTGAGTCCCAGCTGATCGGCTGGGTCTTCTTTGGTTGCCCTGCACAGGAGAACGGAGCTGGAAAGCAGGTTAGTGGGGTGGGGAGGGGATTTAGGGGATTTTGCAGTATCCTTCCCCTGCCACTCCCACCAAGCCACGCCCACAGGACCAGTAGTTTTAAAAAATTGAATCCCACCACTGGATAACACCATGCTTCAGTTAATCATGAATCGGGACATCAAGCAAATGCAGCCTCTGAGATGCTGAGAGAAGGTTTCACCCCCAAAATGGCCACACACCCCACTAAGCCATGCCCACCAAGCCACACCCACCGAATCAGTAGTAAAAATAATTTTAATCCCACCACTGACTTCCTTGGTTTTTTTTTTCCTTGAAGACATTTCGCTCCTCCTCCCAGAAGCATCTTCAGTTCTTAAGAAGCTTCTTGGATTGAGAAGCAAAACAACTTCAAGGAAAAACAAAGAAAGTCTTTTGAAAACAAAAAAAAGCACCTTTGGGACTATCGGGCCTTCCGTACCAGCTTTGGATTGTCATATGCTGCTTGAGTCATTTGTAAGTGGTAGGTTTGGGGTTTTTTTTTGTTTTAGAAACATCATCTTCCTCTGGTCCTTTTTCAAGTTTTTTTATTTCATCCTTCCTCTTGAAATATCCTCAAGAGGAGCCAAGTTTTGCAGCTATTATTGCAAAATGAATAACCCCTTGGAGACGTTGAACATATGTTATAAACATCTTTGCAAGGAGAAGCTGTTTGGCTTCCAGAGAGTTAACTTGGATGGTCATCAAAGTGCTTTACATCTCTTCTTCCCTAGATACCATCATTGGCTTCCTCTCAAAGGGATATGTGTGTGTGTGTGTGTGTGTGTGTGTGTGTGTGTGTGTGTATGTGTATATGTGTACATGTGTATATGTATATGTATATGATGTATATGGCTTAGCAGAAAATAACATCTTGACCAGAAATCCAAGGATAGTGGGTTGCTGGTCACATAAGGACTGAATTCACAAAACATGCTAAACTCTAGCCAACAAATGCCTGTAGAAATTCTCAGTCCGCCAGGTCATGGATGTCCCAGAGATGCTTTTTTCAAGAGGCAACTGGACTTTCTGGTTTTTTCTTTGAAGACGTTTCGCTTCTCAGCTGAAGAAGCTTCTTGGATGAGAAGCCAAACATCTTTGAAGGAAAAACAGAAAGTCCACGAAAAAGCATCTTTGGATTTAGCCCGCAAAGTACAATTGCTGTGTTCATGTACGGCATAGAAAATGGGATCTACTTGAACTTTTGTTCATCCTAAAGGAAATCAACCCTGAGTGTTCGTTGAAGGACAGATGCTGAAGCTGAAACCCAAATCCTTTGGCTCCCAAATGAGAAGCGGGGACTCCTTGGAAAAGGCCCCGATGTTGGGAAAGATGGAAGGCAGAAGGAGATGGCAGAGGATGAGATGATTAGATGGTGTCATTGACCTTGAAGTGGTGCGGTGGCTTAGCGGTGGAGCTCTCACCTCACAATCAGGAGGTAGTGAGTTCGATCCTAGGTAGAGGCAGATTTCTCTCTCTCTGGGCACCCTGAGAATATATCTGCTGAACAAAACTCCACATTGGTGACAGGAAGGGCATCCGGCCAGTAAAACACTCTGCTAGCTCCATTCAGCTGCTAGCTAAATTCCACCCCACAAGAGATTATGGGGTTGTTAAACGATAATGATGATTGACACAATGAACTTGAGTTTGGGTAAACCCTGGGAGATCATGCAGGACAGGGGGCCTGTTGTGTTGCGGTCCCATGAGATTCCAAGGTGTTGGAGCATGACTTAGAGACTGAGCAATAATAACTTAAACTTTTAAAGCTTCCTCGGCATAATCCCTCCAATTTTTGGAGCACTATTCCTAAAAGCCATGCCATGGGTACCTGGAAGAGCACCTTTTGCTGAAAGTTTCATCTTTACATTCAACAAGTGTAACCAAAGGTATCTGTTTGGGAGTCTTTGCTGGAATCACAGAATCTGTTAGATGCTTCTTTAGTTTAACCTCTGCACTTCCCAGAACTGAATTAAATCTATTTGCAGACATCCAGAAGCTCTGCGCTTTGATCTGAAGCAATGAGACACTTTCTTCTTTGTGGGAGCAGACAAATGATTGCCTGGTGTAGCAGTGAAAGAAGCATGAATGCTATAGATGGGTAGATGGATGGAGGGACGGACAGATGGACAGATGCATGATAGATAGATAGATAGACAGACAGACAGACAGACAGACAGACAGACAGACAGACGGAAAATGGATGATAGATGGATGAACAAATGGACAGATGCACAATAGGTAGATGATAGACAGACAGACAGACAGACTGAAGATGGATGATAGATGGATGAACAGATGGACAGATGCACAATAGATAGATGATGGATAGATAGATGATAGATAGATAGATAGATAGATAGATAGATAGATAGATAGATAGAT